TCCACACTAACGCGTGTCCAATGTCCAGCCGACAGAGGCCGCGGCACGTGTGTGGCGGCTGCCGTCGGCTCGTCTTGATGGTAAAGTACCGACTTCGCCGAAACGTGTATAAAGCCGTGCCGACGTAGACGCACTGACTACTGCAGCTATGTCGCTAACGATAGACACTCGTACTAACCGGTCCAGACCCATCAACACATTCTTGGTGTAGTCGTCCATCCCCCCGAATCCCATCCATTCTATAGGCTATTATCTGACAGTGAGCCGTCACATGCCTCTCATGCTTGGAGCTTGCAATTAAACATAGAATGTACTTTGCGATAAGCACATTTTTGCCACACATGCACGCGTGCGCGCGAACACACCCCAAGAGAGAGAGAGGAAAGGGTGATAAATAAAGAGTTCGGCAGACAAATAGAGAAATCGAACAAAATAGAGAGAGAGAGAACGATAATAAAGAAAGAGAGTGACAATGAGATATAGTAATAAGAGACGAGGGCAGCGGACGTGTGAGTTCGTGTGAACGTCCGTTTGTGCGTTTATGTATCGAATTTCTGTAAAATGCGACTTCACGTAGTTGAAAGATATCAACAGAATGATAGTAAAATCTTAACTAAAATGAAATTATGCGTATGTAGTAGCGAACGCAGCTTCACGAGTATAAAAGTCGTTAGTAATGTCTCTCATCATTGAGCCTCATATAGCGTATTTGTTAATCTTAAGTTTACTGCGTGCTGATATAAAATTGAATGCATGACAGGTTAACTAGAGAAACAGCATTTCGTAATGATTTTGCTCCTTTATCTGCATATAGAGTCTATGAGATGTAAATGTTTTGCACCGTCGCCATGAGCGATTACCATATTCCACGTTCAACCACGCTTACATGCAATACCAGAAAGAAAAAAGAAAATTCTTAGTAAGATTGCAATATTTTATTACTCAAAATTTCTCTACAGACATACATATATGCGAAATTGACTTGTTCGTATTTACACTATAAGATGTTTAAAGTACAATGGTTGGCCAGTCACGCTGCTTACAACGTATGCTTTATTGTTACATTTTTATTGTACAAGCATGATAGTAAGTACATTATAGAACTATGTCAACACGCATTGATCACTACACAAATATTTACTCCCTCATATGTCCAATAAGTGAAACGCTTATAGTATACATGTATGCTATAGTAACACGAATATATCGATACGATTATGTACGTATTGCTGTGGATACTTCAGACGGTAGCCAGGTTCAAAGTCGCGCACATATNTGGGCTATTATCTGACAGTGAGCCGTCACATGCCTCTCATGCGTGGAGTTTGAAATTAAACATAGAATGTACTTTGCGATAAGCACGTTTTTGCCACACACGCGTGCGCGCGAACACACCCCCGATAGAGAGAGGGGGAGAAATAAAGAGTTCGACAGGCAAATAAAGAAATAAGAAAGAGAGAGAGCGATAGACGAGGGTAGCGGACGTGTGCGTGCCTGTGAACGTCCGTTTGTGCGTTTATGTTTCGTATTTTTGTATAATATTACAACGTTGTGTATGCGTCTTAACGTTGTTGACAAATATCCAATATAACAGAATGATAGTAAAAAAACTAAAATAAATTGAAATTATACGTATTTATAGTAGAGAACGCAACTTCGCGAGTATTTTTATATGTAAGCTGTCGATAGTAATGTCTCTCCTCATTGCATATGAGCCTCATATAGTTTATCTGTTAATCTAAATTTTACTGCGTGTCGATATAAAACTTGAATGGATAACACGCTAAGTAGAGAGACAGCTTTTTGTAATAATGTTGTGTCTTTATCTGCGTATATGAGCGTCTGTGAGTTGAAAGTATTTTGCACCGCCGCGGTCACACATTGTCACATTCCACGTTTACCCAGAATTACATGCAATGCCAGAAAGAAAAAAGAAAATTTATAGTAAGATAGCAATATTTTATTATTCAAAATTTCTATACAAACATACATATAATTATGCGAAATTGACTTGTTCGTATTTACACTATAGGATGTTTAAAGTACAATGGATGGCAAATCACGCTGCTTACAACGTGTGCTTTATTGTTAAATTTTTCTGTACAAGCATGATAGTAAGTACATTATAGAACTATGTCAACACGCATTGATCACCATACAAATATTTACTGCCTCATATGTCCAATAAGTAAAATGCTTATAGTATAGATCTACGCTATAATAACACGAATATATCGTTACGATTATGTACGTATTGATGAGGATGCTTTAGGCGGCAGCCAGGTTCAAAGTCGCGCACATATACGTGATGACACATGTCGCTATTGTCCTCCTCAACAACCGCTTATATATCATC